CCCAGAAGTCCATATGCTGCAACCGTCCCCCCAAGGTGACGGGGTCAGGAGGTGACGCCTTTGGGAGGCGGTGAGGTCTTCGGGGGAGCCCCCGTGATGGGGTCGGCGCCCTCACGGACCCCAGAGAGCTCCCGCGCCCCTCCCGCCGTGAGAAGACGCGGAGACTTGGGTTCGCACACCATGCGGCCGTGCTGGCCCCTTGACCTTGGACTTCCCAGACTCTAGAACTGTGAGAAATAGATGTCCGTGCTTTGTCAGACACCCGTCTGTGGCGGTCAGTGACAGCAGCCTCGTGGCGGAAGGCCAGGCCCACTTTACAGACGGGCAAACCGAGCCTCGCTGAGGCCCAGGGCCTGGGCCAGACCCCCCGCTGTCGGGGGCGACACCAGACGCGGGGTCTCGGTGCCAGCATCACCTACCCTGTGATGTCGGCCCCTAACGAGACACGTCCACGGGCAGCGGTGGCCGTCCCCGGCCTTCCGCGCCGGCTCAGTTCCCCGCAGCGCCAAGCCCCACCCTGCTGCCATGCCCCAGGGCTCCCTGCACTGCTTAGCGACATTAGAGGGACCAAAACTCCCCAATGCAGGTTTCTCGAAAAAGACCCAAGTCCGCCCTCAACCGAGACACGTGCGCGGGCCTCCCCTGGCCCAAATCCGTCTCCGAGCCCAGTGAGCTGCCCATGGGTCTCAGCGCCCAGGATCACGGGGGGAGGGGAGGGGCACCGACTCAGCCGACACACTGTGGGTGCACGCCCATCCTTTGTGGCCGTGTGACCTTGCCCAGGTCACAGCATCGCACTGGGCCTCAGCCTCCTCATCTGCAAAATGGGGCCAATGCGAGTCCTCGCCCCATCGGGACGGCCGAACACTCGGCACGATGCAACGTGGGCGCGAGGGGCGTCGGAGGCCTCACAGCCAGGTCCTGACGGGGGCTGGCTGGCTCTGATTCCGGGGTACACGGGCGTGGGGCAACCAGGAAGGAAAGGGAAGGCAACCGCGGCACGGCTGTCTGCCCAAGTCTCACCCTTGGAGGGGACCACCCACTCCCTCCAGGGCACGGAACGTGAAGGCCTCCCAGCTGCCCACAGGGCAAGTCCGGTGTGGTGCCCATGGCTCTCACCCTCAGTCTGCGTCCAGAGATGGACTCTTGCAGACAGAGAGACAGAGAGAGAGAGAGACAGAGAGAGAGAGAGAGAGACAGAGAGAGAGAGAGAGAAAGAGGAAAGGAAGTGACAGACCCCAGTGAAGGCCAGCCCATGGAAGGGACTCTGACGCCCGCCACCCTGGAGCACGCGTCCGGCTCGTCCGGCAGCCCCTGCCCCCCCTCCGTGCACAGAGCGGCGCCGGGGCGGGACCCCTGACCCCTGACCCCTGACCCCGCGCGAGTGCAAGCCAGTGACGCAGCTTCCCCCCCCCCACACCCCATGGCCTGGGAGCCGAGAGGGCAGCCCCGGGCCCCGGGGGGCGAGGGCCCTGGCGCCCCAGGGAGGGGGCCCGCAAGCCCGGGGCGCCCGCAGGAGCGCCAGCTTCCATCGCCACGCCCTGGCCATCGGCCCCGCCGGGACGGTTTGCTGCCTGTCTCCCCCAGCGGACGTTCGCCCTGCGGCCGCACCAGGCGGCTCTCATTCGCGTGACCTTCAGCTCCTTCATGGAGCCCGGGTCGGTACGGGGCCGTGGGCGGAGGTCCTCTGCCAGAAAGGGGCCTTTGCTGGGGGGCCCTGCGCGGGGCGAGAACGTCCTGGGAAAGGAGTTTCCAAGGCAGCGAAAGTGTGGGCGCCATGAGCCCCGGGCTGACACCCCCACCCCCTCACTGTGAGACGCCCCCCCAGCAGGCCCCGCCCCGCGCCCGAGGCTCCGCCTCCCACGTGCACGAAGGGGCTGGCGGCGGGCACGCTCGAAGTCACGCTCTCGCCGTGGACGTGCACTCGCGCACTCTGGGGGAGGGGGAAGGGCCGGTGGCACCACCACCACCCCGTGACGCCGCCTGGGGTGCCAGGGCTGCTCCCCACGGGAACGGGGCCATGCACCTGCCGAGCCCCAGAGCGGCAAAGGGAAACGGGCCCTCGAGACCCCCACTCCGTTTCCGGCCGGGCGCACACGGCTGGGGGCGGGGCGCGTCGGGAGGGGGGGTTCTGGGGAAGGGCTCTGCCGGCCCAGGCACCGCCCGCCCAGACTCCGCGCCAACAGGCTCCGGGTTTCTTTTCCTCGCCGCCTGCGTCGAGGCCACCGCCACCTCATGGTTGGCCTCGGCACCAACCTCGGGCAGGACTCCCCGCCCCCAAATCCCCTGCATCCGGGGGAGGGGGGCAGAGGCAGGGACGGGGTGGGGGGGCAGGCAATGATTTACTCTGGGAACTTCCCCTGTCCCACCAGTAAATCACTCAGGGGAGGGACGGCATTTGCATACCGCTGCCTGCCCCCACCCAGCGCCCCCTCTCCGGAGAGCAGCCCCCCACGCGGCCCCCCCACCGCGTCCCTGCTGCCATGAGGATGGAATACGCCCCATGCCAAGGTGCCAGGCACCACTGAGGGCCCTCGGCCGAGAGGCCTCCCGCCCCGCCCCCGCAGCGGGCTGGGCCCCTCACAAGGCCCCTCTGTCCGGGCCCGCCACCCACCCCGCTGTTGCAGGCCCGAGCACAATGGGTCAGCGGCGCGCGGCGCGGCCAGCTCCGCGGCGGGGACTGTGGCGGCTGCGCTCGTTTGCAGGGCCGGAGCAGGCACCACAGCGCTCGAATAATGGGGGCCCCCCGGTCGCTAGGCTGTGGGATTTGTGCTGACTCTTACCGAGCACAGTTCCATATGTTTAAGCACTTTGCGCGGCTGAAAGAAGTACACCCACCGCGCTCTTCACCATGGCTGCTGCCCACGCAGGGGGGAGGGGGGCGGGCGCAGGCAGACAGGCCCTGCGAGTGCAGGCGCAGCGCCTCTCCTCCCGCCGCTGAGCTCGTCCAGCGCCCCTGCCAGGGCCTCGGCCGGCCGGACGAGGTCAGCCAACCCGGCCAAAACATCCCTCAGGCCCCACCGGCGGCGGGGGAGGAAGCGCGGGTGCATTGCCTGCAAACCTTTCCACCAAACGGGAGGCTGCTAAGTATCTTTCAGGAATTTCAGCCTTGTTTTCTCTCCAGCTCTCCTTCCTCGCTGGTGCTAAATATAGAGTTATCAAACTGTCTCTCTCCGCGTCCCTGGTGGGGATCGGGTGGGGATGGGGGGGCGGGGGAGACAGACAAGTGCTTCCAAAGACCCGGCGGTGGCACGTGGCCGGAGCTGCCCGGCAGGGCCAGGAGCGGACCTCACCGGCGGCAGGGCGCCCCCCGCAGGAGCACCAGGCCTCCCAGAGCCAGCCTCCCAGAGCCAGCCCCGCGCGCTCCCACGGCCAGGGGAAGCGGCGGAAGGCGGGTGCGGACTGCACCGTTTTCTCACAAAGCATGAGGCAGGCTGCTCCTCGGGGAGATCGCCAGCCAGCACCCGCTCTGGAGAACAGGCAGCGCTGACCCCCGCGGAGAAGCCAAACAGAGACACAAGTGCAACCTTCCAGTCCCGAAGGGAGGACTGCCACGCATTCTGGACGCAGGTCCCGGGGCCTCGGCTCCAGGGACGCCGCCCGGACCCCCCCGGGCGCAGCCCCTCTGATGCACCAGAGACCAGCCTGAGAGCAGCACAGCTCCGGGCTGGAGCTGCAGCCCCGCGTGCGCGCGGCGGGACCCGCTGCCCAGACCCAGCTGAGGCCGAATGCCCACGGATGCCTCCGGCCGCAGGGCTCGCCCCCCCCACCCCCCGCCACCGCCGCCACCGCCGCCACCGCGGTCTTATTACACACTCCGGGTCACCAGAGGGCACCTCGGAGGAAGGCGATATTTACTTTTTCCATGCAAATGCACATGAAGTTGGCGGCCGCTCCTCATGCAACCTTCCCCCACAGCGAGAGCTGAAAAGTTACACTTGCATTTTCCTGCTGCACTCCGAGGGCGGGCGGGCGTGTGTGGCTTGTTTGCTAAGAAAACGAGGAGAACGTTTTCCCGGAGCCCGAGCCCAGCCGCCTGCTCACCGATCAATCACAGGTCCTGGTTGTGCACGGTCTGCAGCACCGAGCGCTCCAAACGCAGCGGGAACCTTGCTGCCCCCGGTGCCGAGGGACCTGTAGGGTCTTTCTCCGCTGCTTGCGGTGGGGGGAGGGGAGGAACTGGCATTTTGGGATGAGCTCCCTCCAGCACCAACAGGGAGCCACACCAAGGCGGCGGCGGAAAGGCTTTCCAAACTCCAGCGGAGACAGAAAATACCTGTTTTTGCCTTTCCCACTCACTAGATTCCGGCGACAGCTGTGCGGGGGCCAGCAGAAAGCCTGGCTCCCCGGTGCCCAGGCCACGGCTCCGGGCGGCACCCGGTTCCAAGGAGGCCCCACATGCCCGGGGTTGCCTGGCCCACGTGGGGTCAGGGCGCTGGGGCAGCCCGGCTTTGAAACAGGAGGCGAGCGGCAAACTGCACCTCGGCCAGGGCGAGGCCACCTGGGGAAGGGCCCTTTGGGAGGGGGTATGAAAGGAGAGTGCCGCTGCCCGTGGGGAGGAGCCGGGACGTGCCAGCCTGCGCCGGCGGACGACCTGACGTCTGGGCCCGCAGGTGTCCTGGGAACTCACGGCCCTGCGACCACCGGGACCAGGGAGCCAAGAGGGGCTTCACCAATGCCCTGCCACAGCAAAACCCCGCGAGAACCGAAACCTGGGGGATGGCGCCCCGAGGCGGAGCAGGGAGGGGGCTAGATTCCAGGAGGCGCGCCCCCACTCGCCTCCGGAGGCTCGGCGCTCTGAAAGGACCCGCAGGGGAGCTGGGGGTTGGGGGAGGAAGGCGGTGCGTGCAGGAGACCCCTGGATCCCCAGCGTCTCCCCAGATCGCTCCAAGTCTGGGAGGAGCGAGCTGCCGGGGACTTGAGGAGGTGGCCGCTCTGTGCAGGAGCCAACTTTGCGCGCGGCGGCCGGGGTCGGGGATGGGGTCCCGGGGACGCGTTACCTGGGCACCGGAGCGCAGTCAGCGCCAGCAGGAGCCCGAGCGGCGGCGCCCGGCCCGGGGGCGGCATGGTCCTTGGCGCGCGGTGGGTGCGGCGCGGAGCTGCTCTTGTCGCGCGCCCGGCCCGGCCCGGCCCGGCCCGCGGCTCCCGGGAGCGGCCCGGGAGGCTACGCTCCGGCTGCGGGCATGGCTCGCTCCCCCGGCGCCGCTCTTCCCCGGACGCAGGCGGGCGGCGCGGGCGGCGCTTCCTAGGCTGCGCCGGGGCGCGCTCTCCGGGGCTCGGCCGGGCGCGGAGGGGAGCGGGGGCCCGGCTCAGCACCCCGCGCCCTCGCCGGCGGCCCTGCACTTGGCCCGAGTTGCGTGGCCCCCGCTGCCGCCGCCGCCGCGGCTCCTGCGCCCCAGCGCCCGTCCCATCCCTGTCTCGCCGCCGCCGCCGCCACCGCCGCCGCCGCCGCCGCCGCCGCCTCTGCCCGCGCCAGCTGCCGGCCGCCCCTCGAGCCAGCGCGAGTGAGCGAGCGAGCGAGAGAGCGAGCGCCGGGAGGAGGGAGGGGCGGCGGGGCCGGGGGAGGGGCCGCCGCCGGAGACCGGGCAGCGGGCGGCCGCCCGGCGATAGGCGGCGGGACGTGCCACTCCCTGGCGTCCCCGGGGGAGGGCGCCTGGACGCAGAGCCCGGGGGAGACGCGCGCGCGGGGGTGGTCGGGGGCCGCGTGGGGACAGGTACAGTCGGCGGGGCGACCTGCCGGGCAAAGTGCGGGCGGAGCCGGGCGGCTCGGCGCGTCCTGGCGGGAGTTCCCAAGGTCGGGGGCCGAGGGGCGCGGCGGAGGGTCCTCGGAGTGGGGCAGCGACGCCTTCAGGGGAGGGGTCTGCAGGGACTCGGGGCGGCGAGGCTCGGCGCTGACAAGAGATAGATGCGGCAGGGCTTGGGGATGCCTCTGGGGAGGGGAGGGCGGCGTGGCCTCCGGGGGTCGGGGGTGCCTGAGGAGTGTCCGCAGGGCAGGGGGCAGGGGCACATCAGGGGTCCCGGAACAGGTCGAAGGTGTCCTGACGCTGCCCGCCCAGGCGGGAAGCAGGGGCCCTCGGAGGCCCTGATTCCCTGGAGCGACAGCACGCCCCTTCCCACTTCCCGCAGGCCGCGAGAGCGCGCGCCGGGGTGCTGTGGGGGGCAGGGGGCGAAGGCCAGAGAGGGCAGGGAGGGCAGCGGTGCAGCCGAGGCAGAGAGGAGGACTGGGTGGTCAGCTTCCTCCAGGCAGGAGCAAGGCCTCAGCCGGCTCACAGTGCCTACGATGGAGAAGTCCTCATCTTAATGGGCTCCGGCGCACCCCTCAACCCGGGCAAGGCAGCGGGGGCGTGGCCAAACGCACGCACGGCGCTGGCCACCCCTGGGAGCAGGGCCTGCGGCCCTCGGATGCTGTGAAAGCTGCCCCACCCAGCTGCAAAGGCCAGGGCTCCCCGGAGTGGGCACCCGTGCTTGGGTCCTCGCGCTGCCCCGGGCACCCTGGTCCCGGCCCCCGGCTCCGGTGTCTCAGTTTCCCAGGAGAAAGTGTCAGACTTTCTGGACCTCGGGGGTGCGGGGTGACGCACAGACAGTTTGGGGAGGGTTTCTGTGCCCCCCCCCTCTAGGTGTGCCACCTGGAGCCCGCTCCAGCCTCTCCGGCCTCAGTTTCCCTGTCTGAGATGGGGAGGCCATTGCGGCGCCCGGCTGGCGCCCCGGAGCACGCCCGCGAAACCCTGACCCGTGAGGTGCGGGCTCATGCAGAGGGATGCACTGTGGACATTAGTATTCTCGTCATTACGGTCATTATTATTATGTATCTGATTTCCCTCTGCAGGCCCAGAGCTCACATCAGAGCGTCCTCCGCCCCTCCCAGCTGGCGAGGGGGCCGGCGGGGGACAGGGCACCTGCTTCATTAGTACAGACAAGCTCATTAGCAGAGGCAGCACTCAGAGCTTCCCACATAAAAGAGGGAGAAAGAGCTGGGGGCAGGTGGTGAGGCCGCAGCCCAGGTTAACTGAGAAAGGCTTCCTTTCCAAGGACCCCCGTCCTGGGCGAGCCCCCCACCCCCACCCCATGGGGCCCCCTGGCAAGGCCCGGGCTGCCCGGGGAGCCACGTAACAGGCTGGACAACGGGCAGTCTCCTGGGGTCTGGAGTGGCCCGGTGGAAGGCCCGCCTGCCTGCCCCCTCTCTGTGACCGGCTCCCCAGCTGGGAGGATGAGCCACCAGAAGCTTCCAGGCCGCTCTCGGGACCCTCCGTGCACAGCCACCCCGGCCACCTCTCCTGTTTCCCGCTCTCACTCCGGAGTGCTCGCTGGGCTCCTGCTGGGCCCCAGGCCCCAGGCCCCTGTGCGGTGCCGGGGAGAAGGAAAACAAGTGGAGGGCAGGCACCCTGCCCCCCGGGAGCTTCCTGTCTCAGGTGGGGCTGTGCACACACAGCTCGTGGGGGGGAGCGCAGGGGAGATTGGGGCCCGGCCCCTGGCCGGGGGTGTCCTTGCCAAGGTGCCTCACGGGTGTGACCAGGCCGCGGCTCAGAGAGAGCTGGGCGTCTGTGGCTGAAGATGAGACGTCGTTTTCCGGCAGGGGTGCATGTGAGGGGGTGAGCCAGTCCAGGGGGTCCCCGAGCAAGGGTCACACGGTAGCAGGTGTGGTGACTGACAGTGACTGCCCTCCCCCCACCCCGCTCAGGACCGCCGCGTCACACCCCAAGAGTCACTTGGCTGTCTCCAGGGCCGGCGGCGGCTGGGAGCGTAGGCCCGTCCACCTGCCCAGCTCGGCAAGCTCCCCCGGACCCGCGGGGCCGGCCCTGCAGCCACCGGGCCTCCCGGGCCATCCGCCCGCACACCGTGTCCCCACCTCCGCACCTTTGCCCCGGCGGTGCCCTCTTCCCGGCACACCCTGCGCGGCTCTTCCCAAGACCCGCTCCTTCTCCCTTCGGATCTCCGCTCAAATGTCACCTCCTCTGGGAGGCCTTCCCAGACCACACGGTCTAAAATGGACCGCCCCCACTCTGCCCCAGTCCCTGTCTGGCCCTGTCCCCATCTTGTTCTGAGGACTGCTGTGGCAGAGCCCACGGAGACAGACAGACTTCCCGCCCGCCCGGACGGGAAGGAGGGTGTGTAGCCAGGGAGCGCAGTGCGAGGGCGCCGACAACGCCTGAGCCAGAGGCTCGGAAGAGGGTGCGGTTCTGACGGTGGCTTCCCCACCCCCCGGCTGTGTGACTTCAGACGGCCCCCTAGCCCTCTCTGAGCTCCTGTGTGACAGTTGCAGCTCTGCCTCAGCCTGTGCTGTGATTGGATGAAGATGCCCACCCATTAACCAGGTCCCTGAGTCTGGGTCTAACGGGGGTATTTCTGGTGTTGGTCTGAGCAGGAAAAGGCCTTCCCTGGTCCTGAAGGGCTGGGGGGCTGGGGGGGGCTGGCAGAGATGGGGCACCGATGACCTAGGAGACCCCAGGGCTGGGCAGGGCCCTCCCCTCCCTGCCACCCTATGTCCCCCTCCAGCAAACCCAGAATCCCACCCCCAGTCTGGGGAAGGATCATGAGAATCTCCCAGAGCCCAAACTGTCCCCTTGTGCACAGATAGGGAAACTGAGGCCAGGAACGGCCCTGCCCCAGGCTCTGTGAGTGTGGGGGGAGCAGATGCAAGTAAGAACCAGCCTTACCCCGCGGCCCAAGGCCCTCGGCTGGGCGCTAGGCTCCACCCACCAGCAGCTGCCCCAATGCGGCCCTCCCCCGCCCCGCGTGCTGCAGCTCGGCCCACGCTCTGGCCCACGAGTGTAGGGCGACGCTGCCATCTCGTGGCTGCGGCTGGTACTGCGGACGGGACCTGAGCCTCAGAAGGCAGACTGAGGACAGGACGAGGCGGTGAGGGAGGGGGCGGGGGCGGCCGAGGTTTGAGGGGGGCGGCAAGGCAAATAGATTTCCCACTCGCCCCACATCGCAGGAGCTTTATGAGACCCCTTTATGCTTTGCACCGCCAGCACTTCCAACAGGCAGGCGATGACCCCCGACGTGACCCACCCGTCGAGATGCTGGTTGCAAACATGGACCGTCTTCCTTTCCCACCGCAAACACTCGTGGTTAGCCGAGCCGGCCGCTGGCATTTCCACCAGGGACCAGAATCGACTCCGGGTACCTTTCCACCCCTCTGGGGAACGGTGCAGGGAAGGGGCGCCTCTCCATACAGCAGCGGGGCTCACGTACCTAGGAAATCAAGAAGGGAGCCGTTCCGGGCCCACCTGGCCACCTGGGCCAGCGACCAAGTGGAGCAGGCTCTTTAGGGCAACCGTTCTGGGGACCCCCGGCTTCGGGTACCCCGTCTCTCTCTGTGTCCTTTCCCCCACCTTACAGATTCCTGCAGACCAGCTGCTAACTGCCGGCCCTCCCAACCACAGGGAGACGACAGCCTTCACAGCCAGCTGCCCGGCCCCTCCGCCAGCTTGTCAGCCCGAGTCTCCCTCACCACGGGGCTGCGGGCGCCAGGACAGCACGCAGCAGGCAGTGTGGGCTGAGTGAGTGGGTGGGTGGCCCTCGGGGTTGGCCAAGGGCCCCAGAGGGGTCGGGTGTGGGGGTTTAACACGTGCTACATTGCACTTTGGGTGGCGAGAGCTCGGTGCAGTGTCCCAATGAGGTACCCCAGAATGGTACACTTAAAACCTATGTCATCTTATTAACCAATGTCACCCCAATAAACTTAATTTTTTAAAGATTTTATTTATTTATTTTTAGGGAGGGAGAAAAGGAAAGAAACAGCGATGTGTGGTTGCCTCTCGAGCGCCCCCTACTGGAGACCTGGCCCACAACATGGGCATGTGCCCTGCCTGGGAATCGAACCAGAGACCCTTTGGTTTGCAGGCCAGCGCTGAATCCACTGAGCCACACCAGCCAGGGCCCAATAAACTTAATTTTAAAAGGTAAGGGGGAAAAACATGCTAGCACAAAACAAAGACTAGAAAGGAGTGACGGCAGGACCTCTGATACACGCCCAGCAGGCAGGGCTCGATGGGCCTTACCGCTCTTCACTGTGCTAACACGCACAGGACGTGAAACCTGCCACTTCGCCCTCGTCGGCGTGTACAGTTCTGTGGCATCCGGTACACGCCCAGTGCCGGGCGCCCCTCGTGCTGTCATCCGGCTCCAGAACATTCCATCCGGCTCCAGAACATTCCCGTGCCCCCTAACAGAAACGCTGTGCCCAGCTCCTCCCCCACCCTAACCCACTCCTCCCTCCCCCGGCCACCAAACTCCTTCCTGTCTCCATGGACTCGCCTGTTCTGGACAGTTC